GAGAGGTAATAGGTCTCATTCTTCTTATCCAGAGGTAATCCCTCCAGACATTGCTGACAGAATGAATGTAGACAAGGTAAAGTCTTAGGGTTGGTATAGTGTTCAAGACACACAGGACAGGTGAGCTGTTCCTCCAGTTTGAGGAGACCAGGAGAAGAAGATGAAGATGGTTTGGTTGCCATTTCAAGAAAGAATAAAATTGTGTATGTAAAGCAAGAACAAAAAATGAAGAGAGATAAAGGTAGAAGATGGTAAATGAAGATAGAGCAAGAACAAACGATAAAAAAATGAAGAAGTCGGAATGAACGAGAACGAGAGTAGCCTGGGGAAAGATAGCCCTGATGACCTCTTGGAATATTCTATAGTCTTGTGACTAAAGGAAGTTATGATAGTACATTCCTTTATTATAACAACCAGTAGTAAAGGTGAATTTACATTAATGAATGAGAATGTAAAACAAAGTAGAGGAGGAGGAGGAGAAGGGAAGGCAGTGAATGAGTGATGAGAGAGAGTCCTAATGACCAGATGAAACAACAAAACAAAATGAAGAAGGTGGAAGGAGGAGAGAAATACTAAAGAAGGTCAGCTAGACACAAAAAGTGGACAATACCTTAAATATATTCAAAGATCTTGTGACTAAAGGAAGTTATGATAGTACATTATGAAACCAAGGCTTCACCATAGGAAAGGTGAATCATAAAAAATGAAGAAAAATATGCATTTATATAACTAAAACCTAATATATTTATTACAATTTTCAAAATTGTAATATCTCAAAATGAACTAGCTGCACAGTAGCACATATTTTAAGCTACATTGTATATCATTTATTAATCATCATTATAATGATAAATAAATTGAAGCTGCTCTCTCTCTTGACATCAGAATACAATCAGAGCAATAATGAGTAGTACCATAAGATGTGTATCAAAATAATAATAACTACTATATGCTGTATAGCAGGATTTATTAGTGCTAAGAAATTTTGAAATAATTGACTAAACTGGTAGGTTGACAAATTAAATTTTGGCATGCATTATGACATGTACAGCTAATAATAATTAATAACTAGATGAATGTAAAACACTAAAGGGGCAAGCCTGCACAAGTAAAGCAATGTACATGATACAATAGATCTTAAGATAGATCTTGACAGATCTACCTTTGTCATCAGAGTTAAAGTCTAGCATTTATAGAAAGCATTAACAAGAATCCATCTTTATCAAATGCCAATTTATTAGGAAACCTAAACTGATCAATGTTAGTGCCGTTACTTCCAAAATTCCTAACAAACGCACTATCACTAGTGAAGACTGATGTATAGAGAGAAAGTACAAAGAATAGTAGAATATGGTCTAACATGGCCATGTGCTATTGAGCATGTGCATAAAGATTCAAGCTGACATAAACAAGTCTCATTTTCATTCATGATAGTCATTAATTAACACCAACCATCCTCGAATCAGTTTATTAGCGTCATCAATTAATAATCAATAACTACAATAAAAACAAAACTAAACTAAATCAATAAGTAGAATACCGTATAGCAACAAAGTTTTGAGGCAATAAACTTTCGCGAATTAACTTTCGCAGTTCTTATTTTAAAGCAGAAGTGTTTATGGGCAATACGGATAATTTACAGAATTAACTTTCGCGGATACGGAAAATCCGCGAAAATAGCGAAATTTGTACCCTCAAAATTAAGCAGCTATATGATAGTAACTAAATCTAATAAACAACTAATCGGTTATTACTAAGATCACAAACATACAATAATCCATCTTTATCAAATGCTAATACGTAAGGAATATCAAACTGACCAATATTACTGCCTTCACTTCCAAACTTACTAACAAACACACCATGAAGATGGAGATGGTTTGGTTGCCATTTCAAAAAAAGAATAAAATTGTGTACGTAAAGCAAGATCAAAAAATGAAGAGAGATAAAGGTAGAAGATGGTAAATGAAGATAGAACAAGAACAAACGATAAGAAAATGAAGAAAGTGGAAAGAGGAGTGAAAGACTAAAGAAGGTCAGCTAGATACAAAAAGTGGGTGATACCTTAAATATATTCAAAGATCTTGTGACTAAAGGAAGTTATGATAGTACATGATAAAACGAGGCTTCATGCACCACTGAAAGGTGAATCATGAAAAAAAAGAAGAAAAATATGCATTTGTAATTTTGTATGGCTGGCACTTAATATAATTATTAATAATCAATAATAAATAATATACTGATAATAGCGTAACCTGTAGTGAATTGTAGAGTAATGTAATAGTCATGATTCTATACACATCCTTCATACACCAACCATCCTCTTAGTAGTCTGTATTTAATGTTAACAATTAAATT